CATACATCCGTACATGCGTACGTACATTTATTCAGCCATACATAGGTACATGTATATACACCCATGTTTGCATGTTTGCATGAGTACCCTGAATCAAAAAATTGCAAATCGAGCCAAAATCCTAAGCCAAGCTCACCTCTGCGCGGTTGAGGGTTTTTGCACACTCCAAACCTCATCGATTCGGAAAAGAGTGCTCAACGAGAGAGACTTGTGCTTAACACCCACAGCCCTGAACCTTAACTTCACGAGCTCCACGATGCTAAATCGCCAAATTCAAACCTGACACTCTAGAGTCGTTCATCCTGAGGTTCTGCTGGGTCTCATTACCGAACTCATCGGCCACTGCCGTTCCTTGTCCGGAATTGAGGTTGCCGCTTTGGCGTTTTAGGAACCTTTCTAAGGGGCACGCAGCAAGCGTTGGGTAATTTTGAATTCCTATTCCGGTGCGATAGAGGCTCCTAAAACTTGAAGTAAAGCTGCAACCCAATGAAGATTCACTGGGTTTACGGTCTTGAAAGCTCAGTGTCTTCTGGGCTTCGGGGGTAAGTGTACGGTGTGGTTTCTTACAGAACAGCCGGCCTGCAAATAAAGGATGGTCGGTCGCACCGCGAATCATGGCGGAAAGAAGGTTATGAGGGTCACTATGGCATTCAGAATCCTAGTCACCGTGTCGCTTGAATTCCGAACCACAGTCATACATGCACAGCCTCTTTCGGGTCTAGATTCCATTCACTTTGAGGGCACCTGAGCGGTTCTTGAGCCCACTCTCGATCCGAAGAGTTCTGAGCTTTGAAGCCGCACTTTGCTCTTGCTTCTCTTCTTTCGCTCTTCACGGCCCGTGATGCTCCGGATCCCAGGAGTGCAGGTGCTGGTGGAGTGCAGCTTCGTCATCAGACTCCCCACGATGTGGACGGCGACACGGAGCGGCCCAGGTAGGCCTTTAAAGAAGAAGGATGATCTAAATCCAAACCCTGGGCTAGCCTAAGAGCTGAAGTGCGTAAACCTGGTATGGGCAGTTGCTACATGAAGGTCTGAGCAGCTCAGCCGCTGGCGACGTCCCAGATCTTCCTTGCCTACCCAGCCAGGACTGTCCATTCAGGGTCTATGGACCTTCGAGCTTCGGGGTTGGAAGGGTTAGGATGTAGTTTACTGATAGACTCATATGTTCCGTTGATGACGATGAGGTGGCGGAGGGTGGATGGTGCGGACTTGGATCTAGTGACTCTGGTGCAATGACGCTGACGGCGACGATCCACTGAACTCCTGAGGCCCTCCTGCTTGTAAACTTACGGCTGCTCCGATTCCGACAAGTAGTAGTGCTAACAACAACAACAACAACAGCAGCAGCAGCAGCAGCAGCAGCAGCAGCAACAGCAACAACAACTACAGCTACCAAAACGACTACTGCTACAGCCACTGCCACTGCCACTGCGACTGCTACTGCTACTGCTACTGCCACCGCTACTGCTGCTGCTGCTGCTGCTGCTGCTGCTGCTGCTGCTGCGATTCAGACTGCAACGATCCTGACTAGTTTTACTGAAGCGTCGACATTTCCACACCCAGAACTTGTGCAGTATCTGTGCGATTGCAGCCAATGGTCGCTGAAGGATATATGTCATGATATGACAGCGTGTGTAGGGTATCGCTACTGCGAACAGAACCAGTGACGGGTGTACATAAAGCTGGACATTGCTGCCCATCCAGTCCTCCACGAGCTCCCGAAGCGCCAAGCGGTCACGAGTGGTGGAAGCCCCTGTGGAATCGGTGGATGCGGCCGAGGCTGTTAAGGGCCGAAGCATCATGATGGTACATGGCATGATACGTATACTTAGTATAAGTGTATGTGTGTGGGTACATACGTGTGTGCACGTTGGTCTGCCTGTCTGTCTGTCTCTGACTCTCCGTTGTTTGCCTGGCTGTATGCACGCACGTATGAGCGCATGCATGTGCGCAAGCATGCATGCAGGCATGCAGGCACGCATACCTGTATGTCCGTATGCATGCCTGCGTGTACGTATGTAGAGCTTCATCGGAAGCTATCAGCACGGATCGCATGTGGTACATCGTATTCTGTATGTGCTTGTATACACACATGCAGACAAACATGTAAGCACATCCGATACCCTTACTTGTAGGCTTGGAGTTAAGTTTTGTTCGCTTTTGCGGTCCACCGTGGCAAGCAGTGTTACAGTGGAATCCCGTGCAGGGTAACTGTAGGTCTATGCACGTATGATGAGCATGTCTTCCATAGTTGCTATGATAATGTACATTGGCTGCATATCTATATGCATGGATGGATGGAAGGATGGATGCACGCATGTTTACAGGCTTGCACATGTAGGGCAGTAGGGCTCAGATGCAACAGCCTTCACAGAAATGCACTCCCGCACATGAGATGGCATCGCATGCGGCGTGATGCGTACTTTCATATCTGTTTAGAGAAGAAGCAGAAAGAGTTCATTCTTTGGCGTCTTTTATCTTCCACTAGGTGGGCGAAGCAGAGGAAGCGCGACTTCCACCCGTCTCTCGCGAGGCTACCTGAGAGCATCTTCTGAAATGTTGTTCAAAATTCAAGACCAACGGTTGCGCGAATGCAAGCCTGATGTAGAAAGGACTAACGGACTAACGGTTGGCTGTAGTGATCGGTTTCACGCATGTCTGTGTGCAGCAGATTGGCTTGGGGTTTCTTCCAGACCCCGGTGAACCAGAATCCAGTCATACTACCTGCTGTCCGGGAGTGTTTCACCTTACGACACTTTTTGCTGCGTTTAAAGCCTGATGTCCTAAACTCGAAACTAGTCCCATAGCATCCTGGCGTTTGGCCTGCCTTGCGAAGGTCAGCCGCAGCCCCTTGGGGGCTCCAGACGTGGGGGAAGCTTTCAAAGAGGCCGCAAAGCCGCCTTTCCCTCTCCGCAACCTGCAAGTGTGGCCAAGTTTTGCCGGGTTTCCCAAAACCCTAAACCCCACGCCCCCGTCTTCTCGTAGTTCTGTTATCATCCTTTCCTATGGGCCACGATAACAAGCTAGGAAAGGCTGCAATGTTCTGCTGCAATGAAGTGGATCTCAAGGGATCAGGTCTAAGTTCTCCCCCTATGCACCTTTCGGGAGGTAAACAGATTCCTATATATACCGAGTAAATCCCAAAAACCTAGCGCTCTTTTCTGGTGGATGCGGAGAGCAGTGGCACCGATACTTGGAGTTGGCGATTTTGCCTCTGACAGCTTCTTCACAGGCTGACGTCACGGGTGAGGGCGAAGCTGGTATGGAAATCGTCCTTGGCGAAGACGAGCCGGACATACCGGCAGCTGGATTATCGAAAGGACGTTGAGATGTTCAAAAAAGGGATCAGAAGAAGTCAGCTAATTACGTGATGAGCTGTTTTCAATTTTGCATACTTGGACTACTTGTTTCCGATGTTCTGAGGAGTCAAGCAGGTTTGTTGTGTAGAGCAGCTTCCCCTACAACATTTCATAGGCGCTTTGCCAGGGGTTTCAACTGAATGACTCTTCCTAACGAGTGTTGGGACCTACTACCGGGCCTCGTCTACTGTTGCCTTATGAGTGCAAATGGGTCCTTGCTACCACTGACTTCTTTCCAAACTGATCTTACCTACAGTCTCCATTGGAGTTCCTTTTTTGGTTAACCAGTTTTATGGTTAGGATCCTATATTATAAATTTGGTTAACCAAACAAAGGAACTACAATGGAGACTATAGGTAGAGCTCAGGGGAGATTGGACAAGGACGAGAAGCCTCCAGCTGGGGACATCGAACAAAGCGCCCCGTGTCTTCAAGATGTGGGAGCTTCCGAAAATTAGGGGTACCTTAGTTTGGGGTCCTTATACTAAGGATCCTATTATTTAGGGTACTATATTAGGGTCCCCTATTTTCAGAAACCCCCATGTGTTCCTTTGTTGTTGCCAGCCAGCTCCGATGCCTATGATGAGACGTCGTGGATACTGTTGGGTCGCCTGGCCTTTCCAGTTTCGGGCTTGATTCGTCCTTTAGCTCCGGAAGCAACCGAGGCCCTACATCAAAATAGCAGCCGCGTCGAAGAAGCCAAAGCACTCAACAGACCTGGATCGGCCCAAAGTTCCTGCTTCTTGTAGAATGTTTGAACACACTAGAACTTCTCCAAGGCTGGAATTCCTTACCTTGGGCCTCTCAACCCAAACTGTTTCTTCAAATCTGCTTAAACCCAGAGGCCTCCGAAGTCAGCGTGAAGGGATGTGAGCTCTTGCTCCGAGGCCTGCCTTATGGGTAGTTCTCTAAATTAGGGGTACCTTATTTTGGGGTCCTTATAATAAGGATCCTACTATTTAGGCTGCTATATTAGGGTCCCCTATTTTCGGAAACCCCCTTATGGTGCAGGGTTGAGGCATAAGGCTTGTACTTTGATTGAGCTGGGGGGTTGAGTTCAGAGCGACAGATCGCAATAGTGAGAATGACAACTACAAGATGCCCCGGAGGTGCCCAAAACGGGTGTCTTGAGAATGACTTGTTTTTCTTTTCCATGGTCGAAACTGTTGGTTTGCATCCGTTTCGCCCAGCATGAACGGCAACGTCATGTCCTGCAGTCTTTGATGTCCCCGTGTAAGACTTTGCTTTTGCGCAGCACTGGGTCAATCGTTTATTGAATTCGTAGCATACAGATCCCTGAAGAACCCTCACCGACAGAACTCCGATGTCCCGACATGGCATGCAAAACCCTACGTAGCTGCAAGCTCAGGAGTCATTATAGCAAGGATCCGAATGCTCAACACTTGCAGTTCGCCCGGCTCTACACATCCAGCATTTAAAGGCAAATGCTATGTCCATGCAGGAAGCTATGCGTAGAAGCATCACATCAAAGAGGAGATCAAAGATGCCCGCAGGTTTAAACTCCAGAGCGTTAAGTCGAATGTCAAGTGAGCCTGTCCCAAAGGTTTGAAGTACCAATGCAGTAGATATTCGGGCCCCCAAAGTATATACCATACTAATTAGTACTTGGTTTCTTTGGGAAATGGCTTCTGCACCTTCGAAGTCCCTGGCAGGGACATCTGAAGAGCGCTGCATCGAGGATCCGCCGGAGAAAGACCCGAAGGTCCATCGCAAAAAAAACCCAAACCCGAAACCGCAAGAGCTCCCCTGAACCCTAAACCTACTTTGGTTCACTTCTCGATCTGTGCGTAGGTTTTTGGTTACGCGTTTAAGGGTTGAGGGTCCACGAACTTCGGGGCTGAGAGAGCCAAGTGTCTGGCATCTAGGGCTGTAGATCAAAAATCTGTTGGATCAGGGGGCCTTGATCTGCTAAAACACTGAACCCTGACGCAAAAACGCACCAAACCCTGAACTCTGAACCCTAAAGGTCTTCAAAAAGAAAAAAAACTCTAAGCCCTGAGCAAAAGGCAAACAGGGCCTTACCTCCGAGCTTGGGCCAGGATTTGGATAGCCAGAGCCAGACATCCATCAGGTTTCCCACGCGCCTCAGCTTCGAAAAAGGATTCCGTAAGGATATAGGGGCATGATCCTGGGGGTTTTTGAAAAACCCGCTTTCGAAGAAGGCTTCTGTAATGATTGACTTTGACTTAAGGTTTCTGCGATGTTCTATAGCGTTTCTAGAAGGCTTCTATAAGGTTTCTGCACGGGTTCTTTAACTGTTGTCATGGCGGTTGGAATTTCTTGGGTTGAGGGCTCCTCAGTGGTGAAGGCGTAGACTTTTGGAAATGCCGGGATACAGGATTCTGCAGCCAGCACCTCAGCAGGCATCCTGTATACACCCCAGATTATCACAAGGGTCCCAGGGACCCTCGATTCTTCCCGTTTTGATCTGCAAAGACATCGAAACTTAGCGTAATCCGACTGACCCAGATGCTAGGTGCAACATAGGGGCCTCAATAGTTGCCTGTATTATTTGGGGGCTCCTCTTTTGTCTTATATAGTATAAGCCCTGTATCAGGGTACCCCGAGCCCAAACAGCCTGAACCCCAACACCCTGGAGCCTCGCAAAGCAGCCAAGGTCCTCGGCCCTGCGCCAGAATGTCCTAGAACAGCCCCCTTTGCTCAATGATGGCTTCGTCTTTTTTTCGGGGTCGGTCGGGCCGTTGGGTTTTGCTACCAACCCCTATCAAGCCCATGAGACGGAGTGTGAGAGCAGAAAGCCCTTTCTTAGTGAAGCTGCCCTGGTTCCAAAATGGTTGAGGTTCCTGGATGTATCGTCAGGTAAGGATCTTGCCCAATCCGAACACCTCAGTTCAAGGTTACGTAGTTTCGGGCTGCAGGTCGTTGCATTGTCTCTACAGTGTTTACCGCAGCATGCCGTAGTCATTTTGGCTCAAAATCTATTGGTTCGCAACACGTACTGCTGCGGCTCCAAACCTCCGCTGGACACTGGCATGGAAAAGTCGCCAAAAAGATCCTCAATGGCCTCGCCGCAGTGCTTGCCAACGGAGATGTGGACCGGACATGTGCGTTGGAGTTGTTGTCCGACAACCACGAGAAGAATAACTCCAATACTGACAGCCCTGTGTATGCAGTCGAGGGCACAGTCGTCGGGGCAGCAAGTTAGGCAGAGCTCAAGGGCCATGACATCGAGCTCGATGTGGCCTTGTGTGTGCTTCAAAAGGGCGCTTCGTGGCCGACCTTTTGGCGGGCATGGAAGCCCGTGTGCTTCGCAGCAGCGGCACAACTTCGGCTTATGGCCACGGCTTCCAATCCGGCCACTGCGACTGCATGCACATACCGAGAAGGCTTCAAGTCTCTATCCGCTGGCAATCCGGGCGGGCGCTTGCAGGAGATGTGACCAATGAAGCCAACGTGGCAGGAAATTTCTCCGGCAGCATTGAGAATCCCGTCGGCTGCATAGTTTGGCGACCTATTCCTGCGTTTGCTCGACACTGTGTAACCTCGCTGAACTTAGCTCTGTAAGCTTTCTGCCCTGCATCAGCTGTCCAGCACGACCATGTGCTAGGCTTTCCGCAGGAACATGTCCAAAAAACGGGCGGGTGCAAACCTATCTGTGCCTGTGTCTGGATGGTTTACATTGGAAGTGCAGTGACCAATCTGTTTCAGCGGGTGGCTTGGACCGCTACGTTGGTTAAGGTCGCTATTGGCGGCACGAAGGGAGTTGGTGGTCTGCCATCATGCCCGATGCACACCTGTCCTATCCTTCCGAAGGCTGGTTCAAGGGCCGACAGTGCCGGTTTGAATTTCCTGTTTCCGCTCCCTCTTCCCTCTTCTCCCCCGCTTCCTCCTTCTTTGTTTAGATTTTTCTCGTTGCTGCTCTGCCGCAGCGCCTTTGTTCGGGAATGCCTCGAACTGCAATCGACTTCTTCGTGGCGAAGCTTGTCGGCTTCCGGCACCCCCCTTGTTGCTATCGACCTCGTCGTGGCGAAAGAACAGTAGCGAAGCTTGTTGGTTGATTTTCGGGGAAACCACCGGGCTGCAATCGACCTCCTCGTAGCGAAGCTTCACAGTTGGTGGGGGGGCAGCACCCCGGCTTCGGTTCGACCTCTTCGTGGCGAAGGTTTTGGGGACATCCCCATTGCAACGTCTTCGTGGCGAAACTAGGTGGTGGGTTGTCGGGGAGACCCCCCCGCCGTTGTTACAACAGACCTCTTCGTGGCGAAGCTTGTTGGTGGATGGGCTTTCGGGGGCACCACTAACTACCGGCTGCAATTTAGCTCTTGGTGGAACAGCTTGTTGGTGTGTGTTTCGGGGGCACCCCGCCAGCTGCAATCGACCGGTTGGTGACGAAACCTTTGTTGGTGGGTGTTCGGTGGATTGGCTTGCAGTGGTAACCGGCAAGTTTCGATGGAGTCTTCCTCAAGCCCCAAGCTCGGCACGCCAGGTTGTGACTGCAGCATTCTCTTCATGCCTTCATCCCACCCTCGGACCCAAACCCTGCACCCCTCTAGGTACGGGGCCCAAGATAGCTAAACACTGCCTTAAATGTTTAAAACCTTGGCCACCTATTCAGCACCCCATGAAGCAGATCTAAGAGCCTAAAATGCTCTTATGAAATCCTAACGAGTTCCTGCCGCCTCAGGCTTCAAATCGATGCGCCTCGCCTCAGGCACTTCGCGGCTTGGACCCAGCAGGATACCCGGCCTCAGCGAGAGGTTTCCGGCTGTAGGGCTGGGTGCCCACTGCTTAAAAAATCTTTAGATGTTGCCGGATGACCACTATTCTGGGCATCCTATGTCCGGCGATCTGAAGTGTCGACTTAATTTTCTACAACCCCAAAACTCCTCAAACTTAGAACCCTCAACGGCAAAGCTAAAACCCAAACGACAGGACGTGTGACGAGTTGAGTGTGTCGTAGTTCATTGCCTAAGCCATAGCTGCCACCCTGCGTGTGGGTTCGCCGCGGCCACATGCGAGGCCCAAAAGCACGACAACCCCAAACCCTAGCCCTGTAAAGCCCGAGCCGCACAACCCTTAAGCCTCGATCCCAACACCCCAGAGCGAATGCTAAAGCTAAAATCGCCAAACCCCAAAGCCCACACCGCCCACACACTTACCACTAATCCCTAAACCCTCCACTACATCCTCTAACCCAAAGTTCAGACACTGACACGGCGCCCAGGCAACCCCGAAGATTGCACAATATACGGCCGTGAGCCATTACCAATAGCATTCCCTCGGGTTTCTAGTATATGCTGATACTATCGTAGGCCCCAACACCTAGTTCTTAATTGGTTCGGCGGCTATATTCTACCAAACTTTATTGAACCCTTATACACTAACCCCTTATGGTAACGCTTGTAACTCTAGAACCCTTCAAAGGAGCCTTTATCCTAATTATTACGGATTTCCTTGTGTGCCAGGAGGACCAGGCACCGTCGCTGCAGGTGGAGTTTGCGGTGCAGGTGCCAAAGGCCGGCAAAAGGGCGGTAAGGGTTAAGGGCCAGTTAAGGGCTGAGGGTTTATGGGGTTTAGGGCGCTTGAACGCCTTCAGACGGTTTCCCTTAAAAGCTGGACGGGAGGTATGCCGCAGTTTTAAGTGGGGTTCTGTGAGGGTTCTGGGCTTGAAGTTTGAGGGACTTGGCAATTTGGGAGAACGGTTTAAGTGTTTTTAATTTAATGCTTATAAGTTTTAGAGCATTTGAAGGCTGAAATGCTGAGAATTTTAAGGCTCAGGGATACCCTACCCAACAAGTCCCCCATTATCCCCATAGGCCTATAGGGCTACTTGTTGTAACTATACTACACCATATGGCGCCTACATTGCACTCAAGAAGCGGATGTGGCTCACAGGCAGAAGTCGCTGACTGGCGCCAGCGCATGGCGACCTGCTCCTGGCACATGGCGGCCGGAGGTCCATGGGCCCAGGCCAGCCAGTCAAACGAAGAAGTCCCTCTTCTGAGGAGTTCAAGGTTGTGATGAGAAGCTCGTGATATCATCGTTCGTGTTCGCACTTTGATTGGCATTCTGGCTGTTGCGAGCATAGACCGTTGTAACATGAGACTACTGCCTGCCGCCTGCACTTATTTGCTGCAGTATTGCAGCTCGCAGCCCTATCACCATTACTTCGCTACTTCAGTGCGCGGTCTCCGACAGTGGGGCTGTCAGGATTCCTGCAACGGCTACTTTCATAAGGAAGGTATTGTACTTATTGTACTGTAAAGGTTTACTGTAAGGTTCCTAGTTATAAGGGTTTAGGGCCTAGGGTTTAAGGTTCCCGAGTTAAGGGCTCTACCCAGGCCCCGGTGCAGCAGCAGCCCGCCGCCCTGATCAAGAGCAAGGGCCGAGCTCCGGGGATGGACCTTTTGGACCGCCCTGGGCTGCAAGGGGAGGATGGTGTAGGTGCTGTAGGGGTTTTCGAGGCTCCTCATTACAATAATGGACTAATGTACCCCCGAACCCTAGTCTTTGAAATTTCAGGCCCTTATATCATGTGTAGGTAGGCAGGCAGGTAGGTAGGTTGACAGGTAGGTAGGCAGGTAGGTAGGCAGCATGGTATGCGCACCCACACATACCTACACAAACTAGGGCGCGCGCACACAGTCACCCACGCGCACACACAAACAAACAAACAAACAAACAAACAAACATACATACATACATACATACATACATACATACATACATACGTAGGTACATACATACATACATACATACATACATACATACATACATACATACATACATACATACATACACACACACACACACACCCCGAGACACCGAAGCGTTAGAAACCGCGTGTCTGCCGCATACCATCGTACTGCTGTTTTGCTGGCATCATGAGGAGTAACGGCTTCTTCGGTAATCGTCATAAAGGATTGGAAGGCTCAAGGTTGGATTCAGGATTCGCGTGTTGGTTGGTCCCACTTTAAGATTTTCGGAGCCGCGAAACACAACGACGCTTGTGAGAGGACTTTGTGGAACGCTGCGGCAACAGCTTGCTGGGCCGGCGCAACACTGAGGCCGGGGCGAGGGAAGGTGCAGGGATGCTTGGCTAATTCGGGTGCTACTGGAGGCGGAGGTTAGTAATCGTTGGATTCACCCTCCAGTCATGACGAGCACTATGTAAACTGTAAACAGCCACAGGACGCGGAGGAGGCGGAGCTCAACGCTTTGCATCTGGAGGCAGTTTTTTTTTGGGCAGGGCTTTCGGGATGAGAGCGAAGTGGTTTAGGGTTGTCCGGAGGCTCTGGTGACGAGGGCTTCTGATCTATTTGCACATGACTCGCCATGCAAGCGGGGAGCCGACAAGGCAACGCTGCATTAGCTGTTTGCTGGACTCCCAGACATGAGCCTGCGTCGGTACAGCATGTCGAAGCTTCGGCCGATGATTATGCGTTTTGTGTTCCGAGGTGTTTACATTCAGGACATCACCGAAAGACGGGAGCACCTGCAAGCACACCATATGCATGTATGGCATCTGGAGACTTGGCCCCCACATACCTTGCCCAATCAAGCCGATACTCGAGCGGGGTACTCCCTTTCGTGCGACCCATAGTATTATAAGGAATGCTACTCATAGTAGTAGCAATAACAACAGTATTAAGAACATCCAGAAGAGGAATAGTCACAGTATGAAAGCAGCGGCAATCTTCAGGTGGCGAGACAACTGCTTCGGAAGATGACGAGCCGTACTGCTCGAGTTTTGCTCGGCTTCTTGGTTGTATGCCTCCGCTCAAGCTCGAAGCTAGTGGAAAGTCCTCGGGTTGATTGTGGAGGCTATCAGGCTATGTGTTGCTGTTCACCGCACGGAGTTTGTCATTAAAGGTTTTGTGGCTTAAGTTCTGAACCGGAAGTCTCTGCATTGATAATCTGGCCTGCGGACGTTGTAAAGGGTCCGCATGACTGATCAGAACCTGGGGCCCAGAGATGGCTAAACGATGCTGTGAGACTCTGACCTCAGTTTGGAGACAGCGGCAACTTAGCGACTCTATAGCATGTAATATATATATATATATATATACATACATATATATATATATATATTATATATATGTATACATATATATATATATATATCGCTTAGCCAAATCAGCCTTCCCTGGAAGCTTCTGAAGATCGGTTGGGTAATCGGAGAGGAACATTTGCAGCATGTCAGTTGTTTGACGGATCCCGGCACCCGGTGCAAAGGCCGCTTAGTATTCATGCTTGGGAACAGACTGCATGGCAGAACGGTGGCGTCTAATCTTTTTCACGTTTTGCTTCCTGCCTTAGCCCATAGGTACGACTAAATGTTCCGCTTAGGCCTGCAGTACTTCTGCAACCTCGTTGCAGCTGCCTCCCTGCCATTTGTGCCTTGACCGCAGCGGCTTTGGCACAGCAACCCCGGATAAAAATGAAGATGACAGGAAAACTGATGATAACCACAATTTTTCAAACCATGAAAAGCAAGTCGGCCTGTGCATAGCCATGCCCGTTCAGAGATGCGATAGCACTCAAGGCATTCCTTTCCCCGGAGGGATCAAAAGGAGCGCGGATGCTCACATCTTAATTGTGGAGCTTGCTGTTCGTTCCCCGGGGCACGGCCTGTCCCTGAGATATCTGGTGTAACTTGATATGGCGGCAGTGCCAGCGGATCATGTAACTAGAGCTGAATGCAACCGGAATGCCTCTTCAGAGGCTCTGCACTACCTATAGTCTCCATTGTAGTTCCTTTTTGGCGATACCTTATATACTCGTTAATATATATTTGGTTAAACCAAAAAAAGGAACTACAATGGAGACTATAGGTAAAGCTTGGAATGCCCAAAGCCCAAAAAAGGGCAACTGATTCGACACTGCAGGCGGGCTACCAGCTGATGACGAGTGGCTTGGCGTGAGCGTTTGCTCTCAAGCGGCGGATCCAACAGCTTATTCGGGGCACTGACTAGATCTTGAGAAGGGTTCAGCACTTTTCTGGAAGATATCCGTGATGATCGTCTGCTGTGGTTGTAATGCCCTTTACTTCTACAACATATATCCACACTCTGCTCTAAGCATGAAGGCAATGTCGGAGTGCATGGAGTGCCTAAACCCCTTAACAAAAATCCCCGCGAGGCTGCGACCAGGGCTTCCCTGGCTATATCCACGGTGCCTGGTTGGGGCTCCGCGGCTGCCATTTTTTTGGCAGGGAGTAGAGGGAGTAGAGGGGTGATAGGATTTGGGCTCAGTTTTCTTTCAGTGGTGCACGCATGGATTGCGAATCTCATCCATGCAGCACTGCCGGTAACTCCTGACAAAGGCATGACAAGAGTCTCTCCCCAAAAAGGGGTTTGTAGGAAGTAGAGGGATTGGGGTGATGTCGAGGTTTAGGGAATAGAGGGATTCGGGATTTAGGAGTACCGGGAAATGTTGGCTTGCCATGCCCTCTGAATCGTGCAGCATGTTCCCCAGGGCAGAGTCTGGGTTCAAGACGGGATATAGGGGCTCGGGCAGGTCAAACAGTGACAGCCGGGGAACAAGAGATGCGGCCTAACATAGGAAATAGGCGTGTGGATCGTGAGGTTCTTCGGGATAGATACCCGGAGCTTCTTGACCCTGAAGCGTGAAGATGGGCCAGGGGCATCGAACTAGACACAGCCCAGGTACATGTGCCTTACGAACCTCATGTCCTTGACGCTGCTCCGTTTGCTGGGTGGCAGGCTGGGCGCACACTGCATCGCGATATGGGTGCATGTCATATTATCCGTCTAAATGAATGCATGCCTGTGAGTCTGCAGGTATGCTGGTATGCTTGTTACCATGCGTGGACGTAATGTATTTATGCATGCACACATGCATGCATGCATGCATGCATGCGTGTGTGTGTGTGTGTGTGTGAGTGTGTGTGTGTTAATGTCATGCAATGTACTGTAATGTAGTGTAGTGTAGTGCAATGTAATGTACTATAGAGCAACAATGTAATGCAGTGTAATGCAATGCAATGTAATGCAATGTAGTGTAATGTAATGTAATGTAATGTAATGTAATGTAATGTAATGTAATGTAATGTAATGTAATGTATGCATGCATGTAGTGTACTGTAATGTAGTGTAAGGAAATGTACAGTTGTGTAATTTAATGTCATGTGATGTAGTGTAGTGTAATGTTTGTGTGCATCCATGCATGCATCCATGTATACATATATGTGTGTGTATGTATGTAAGTAAGTAAGTCTCTATGTAAGTAAGTATGTATGTATGTATGTATGTATGTATGTATGTATGTATGTATGTATGTGTGTATGTGTGTATGTCTGGATGTATGTAATGTATGTATGTATGTATGTATGTATGTATGTATGTATGTATGTATGTCTGGATGTATGTATGTATGTATGTATGTATGTATGCATTCATGTACGCATGTATGTACGTGTGCATGGTATGTACGCGTGAATGTAATGTTGTGTAACTAACGTGTTTGCACAGATGGCTGATATGTATATGTGCACACATATCTGTGCACACACATACATGGATACGTGCATATATGGCAAAAAAAACATCTGTCTGTCCATCCGTGCGACCCATCAATGCCTTTGCCGGCACACGTCTTGGCAATACACTGCCACAATAACTCGTGCATGTGTATCTCTCTCTCCACATATATATATATATAACCAAAACACAAATTATGTATATGTAGGCCTTTGCGCAGAGGGATGCACGCGCATGCATGTATGTATGTCTCTGTTATATATAATTATATCTGCATGCGTTTATGCACCTTCATACATACCATATTCTCCAAGGCGAGCCGGCGTCTTCTGCTACGCCTTTCGATGGCGACTGCTCTTCAGGCTGTGCAGGGACAACTGATTGATCATATGTGTCCGAGTATAAGCCTTAAGCATTCCTAAATCAAAAGCCCGAACCCTAAGACGGAGTCGCCGTGTGCTGTATTCGTATAATTTGTAACTGTAGCTCTATTCACATGATGGCTACTTCTTCAGATGGTTCCACATCATCCGACCACGCACCAATAACCTCGCCCTGGATTGTCCGAGAGTGAGTGCCGAAACGCTCCTGGACTAGTCGTGCCCCGTGCCTGCTGCGTGCAACTGTGCGAGTCGAAACTGAAGTGCTTCCCAGTGCAGCATTTTCGTTCGAGGGCCCTTTGCTCCTTCATCTTGCTCACGGATACCTATCAGGATGCCACGCACCTCGGTAGAACCGCACAAGGGTTCAGGGCCAGGGGTTCACGGGAACTTTGATTTTGGGGAAGCTTGGAACAGTTGCAAGAAGTGTTCATGGCATTTTCGGCACATTTGTATCCGGTGCAGCCCTTCTAGATCAGAACGGGATACGTGGCTGAATAGACAACTGACAAGCGAGCTGAGGTTCCCGGTGATTGCGAACAAGTGCAACTTTGAGCTCTGGTTTGTCTCGGCTTGGTTGGTTGGCCTTGGGGTGGGCCTGATGCAGGCAGGACCTGCATGGACCTGCTATGGGTACGGGACGTCGAGGTTGGCTGGAACGGCTTTACACGTATGAGTCGGACTAGGTGACGCTGTCGGCGACGGGAGGCGAGGCCAATGCTCGGAACTTCAGCAGGATGGAAATGCTGACCATGATGATGTAGTATAGGGGCCTGAATGACATGAACTACCAATACTATTTTGGGGGGTTCCAAATTATATTTAGAGTATATTGGACCCCCAAAACCCTGCATCGTAGGTTCGTCCTAGCCAGGCGGGAGGGAAAAAACCCTATTCTAATTAATCATTAAAGCCCCTGTATTCGATCCTATAAAGATGCAGGTCGTCGTGCAGCTGCTGGTCCTCTTGGCCATGGCTGTGCAGTACAACCGGGCCACAACCCCCGAGGCGATGGTCCTTCTGATGGTTTAGGGTTTAGGGGTTTAGGGCGACACGTCCAGGCGAGATTCACGCAAGCCTGTGCAAAAAGGGGTTTAGGGGTTTAGGGTTTAGGGTTTAGGGTTAATATAGGGGCCGGGGGTTGCTTATTATAGTCATAGTATAAAATACCCGAAAACCCTATTCTATTACCGATACTATTTTGGGGGTTCCTTATAAAAGCTATAGTATAAAATACCCCCAAACCCCTATTCCAATCTTTCAGGCCCCTACAGTTCAGTAGGCCTTCGGGATCCTGCTGCAAAAGGGTTGAGGGCGGTTTAGAGTTTCTTTGCGTAAGTCCTGGGGAGGCAACAAAGCGTTTCAGAGCTGCAACCGGGTTGCAGGCAGAGAAGGCTCTGCTGGGAGGGAGTGTTCGCAGGCAGACTATCTAAGCCCATGCTGAAAGAGGTGTTCAGGGACGGTTAAGGGTTTAGGGTTTAGGGTATAGGGTTTAGGGTTTAGGTTTAGGGAGATTCCGGATATGCCTGGATAAAAGAAACCGTTTCCAGGGAGGACCAAGGCACACAACAACGACACTACAAACCCTAGGCCCTACATCCAAAGCCCAAGCTCTAAACCCGAAGTGTTGAACAAATAACCAATAACCGAAGCGTGCCGAAGCCTTAACACTCAAAGAATGTGAACCTCACCCGCCATTTTTCGATTGGCTGCTCCTCGTTGGGCATTGCTAAGGCGGAGTGGGTTTCTATTGCCCAATCTCAGCTTAGAGCGGGGTTTAGGGTTTTGGGTTCTTAGGCTTAGTGCATTGCAGTCCCTGCTCAAAAACCCCAAAGGGTCTAAGTACTTATATGGTAGGTACTTTGGGGCCCAAAATATCTACACTATATGGGTACTCAGACCCTTTGGGAACAAGGTACTTAGGCTTTGAGTGTTTGCCCTTCTGTGTCGAGCACTAGCCAACAAACAGGCACAGCCCTAAACCCTAAACCCTAAACCCTAAACCACAGGGCCGAAACCCTAAACGAGAAGCCCGCGCAAGCCTTCACTCGAAAGCGTTGATAGAAAGTTATAGGAAAGAGGACCCACATGAACTTGAATGGAATGCAAAAACCCTCAACAGATTACACACTTCTGTCAAAAAGCCATAAGACCCTATAATAGATATCGCCTCTTTTAAAGCCCAGAGCCCCAAAAGCCGGCGGTAGTTTGTCAGGAGCGGGACCGTCTCCTCGTTCAGGGCGCCTTCACGGCTCTTCGCGGCTCCGACAACTTGGCGTCGGCCTGAGATGGAATTTAGGGTTCGGGGTTAAGGGTTTCAGGGTTCAGGGTTTAGGGTTTCAGGGTGCGACACGTACAGGCGAGATTCACGCAAGCCTGTGCAAAAAGGGTTTCAGGGTTTAGGATTTCAGGGTGGCGATTGCACAAGTCCTGATGCCAAAAGGGTTCCGGGTTTAGGTTTCAGGGTCTAGGGTTCATGGTCCCAGTTTCCGAGTGGGTGGCTGTGTAAGTACACTCGTTTTGCAGGCCTTGATTGAGCAGGGATGAAGCTGTTCATGCAGTGTTCCTTTCCCGCTGTGCTGGAGCCTCGGCAGAGTCCTTGGGTCCTGCGCTCAGTGGGGTGCTGGCATTCATCAAGTCCAGTTGTACAAAAGGGTCTAGGGTTCAGGGTTTCGGGTTTCAGGGTTTCAGGGTTCAGGGTTTCAGGGGTTCAGGGGTTTAGGGGTTTAGGGTCGGTGGCCCTGGGAGGGGAGCAGATGCAGGAACCGATGTCCGGATATGTATAGGGGCCCGACCTGGAAGTGCAATTATTTCTTCTAGGTCCTTGGGGCTATCTGACAGAGCTTGAGTACAAAATACCCCGCAAAGACTTGACTTTTTTTAAGCATTACGGCCCTTTTGTTGCGATTTGTTCTTAAACCCTACACCCTTGGCAGGTCCTCGTCTACGCCGTGCGCCCGGCAGTGGAGGACTCGACTGGTCTTCTTTTTGGGTCTTGCACGTGGGCATACGATCCAAGGACACAAAAAAAGATGGAGCACGTACGAACAGTGGTCTTTTGTGAGCTATGTAGAGTAGCAGGGTTGAGAGTTCTTAAAGTTTAGGGCATCTGAAGGATCTCGAAATTCAGCGGTGTATCGGAACGCCCGGTATAGCAGGTGCTTTCGGCGAAAAGTTCAGAAACCCACAAGATTTGAGTCGTCGCTTGGTTTCGGCGCAGGCCCTGCCTAAGATGAAACGCGGGAGCAGCGAACTCTCAGGCTCAGTATACTTCAAGCAGATTTGGCTGTGATTAGGGTTTGTAGAGTCCGATGGTGTGGCTGCATGGGCCTCAGTCGTGATGATAGAGGTCGAACGGATCTGGGTAGTCCTCAAGTCCAGTAGCAAACAGGGTTTCGATGTTGGTGGAGGAACGAAGCAGGACTAGAATGGGAGTTTGGCAAGTGCTCATGTCATCACGTTCCCGAGCCTTGGAAGGTGGCGTGCTTCACGTTCACAACTTGTTAGTCTTTTCTTGCCCTGGTGCCACCATGGATTGGCTCTGCACCTCGTCTTCTAAGGCTTAACAACAAAACTAAAATTAAAATAATGATAAGCGAAATTATGATGATGATGGTGATGGTGGTGATGATGAGAACAATAGTAGCCATAATAGCTACGGACGTTTCGTGATTCCTGGAATCTTGGAAGGAGCGACTTGGTGGTGCGAGCTCCTGGGCCATGCAGCCTGACTGCAACCACCTATAAAATGAAAACCTGCTACAGGCGGCTACAGTCATCCAGACGGTCCACCACCACCATCAGCTCACCTTCAGACCATCACCATCAGACCACCACCATGATGATGCTGAAGACTCGTATCACCGACATAGGAGCAGCTTTCAGGACATGTCGTCATCATCGTCATCATTACCACCAGCTTCGCTGCCGCGAGGAATGGGCAGGATTTCCCAGTTCTGCCACGTCAGCATGCCGCTGCTATCACAGCAGATTTACTGTACCGTGCGCTGTTCTGCAGCCACAGATTCTCGTCCGAGCTTCCCGCGTGCAGTTCCAGCCTCATCCAAGGAAGCTATCGGAAGCACGCATCGCCTTCCTGCGATTCATTTTCGAGGATGTGGAGCAGAGCGCACTGCAAGCTGTTTTCTTGATCTTCTACGACGAGGCCGATGGAGGGTAGGCACATATGGTCGTGACATCTGGACATGGCGAGCATCAAAGTCTTGTAGACAGCAGTGAAAAAATCCTATAGACCACGCCCTTTAGATACATCTATGCATATCTTCTTCGTTTTCTTGTTAAGATTCTGGTTATTGTTCCTTATTGTCATTACAATCTGTATTATTACAATTGTTGTCAGTGTTTTTTCTATTGTTCTTTCTACTGTTATTAGGATTAGTAAAAATATATACTGTTTATTTCCAGGATTTTCCCTGAGCTCGCAGATCTCAGGCCGCTTTTGCCGACAAGCTTTGGGTCACGACGTCCATCGCCACGTCGCTGCTGTCCCCTGGATCTTTGTTAAGAAATGGTGGTTGCCGAAAATTGGGGACCCTAATATAGCACCCTGAATTGTAGGATCCTTATTATAAGAACCCCAAAATAAGGTACCCCTAATTTTCGGAAACTCCCAAATGGAGAGGCATGGAGCCGGCTGCCCCGGAGCATCCGAAAGCCCTAGCGCAAAGCCCGTGAACAGCCGGCGGACAAGAACGCGCAAAGAGCACTAAAACCCGAAACCCTAAAACCCTAACCCATGAAACCCAGAACCGTAAATACTAAGCCCAAGCCCACAAACCCCTCAACCAGAACTCCCAACACACAAGCCCCTCATGAGGCTCTCCTTCACGATCGTGGTGCAGTGCATCCCAGAAGTTCGCGATTGGCTCTGGTACAGGCAGAATCTGGAGTTCAGGGGTGTTGTTGTTGTCCGGGCTTAGGTTAAGACCTATTAGGTTTGGGGGGTCCTTGTGCAAGTCTCCGAACTGCTTCTCTAACTCCCTGTATGTAGGTATATGTATGCATGCATGCACATGTTGTGTGCATATGTTTGTATACATGCATACAAGCATACCGCACATTACATTACATTACATTACATTACATTACATTACATTACAATGCAGTACAGTACAGTGCAGTACAGTACAGTACATTGCATGCATACATACATACAGACAGGCAGGCAGGCAGGCAGGCAGGCAGACAGACATACTGCATACATACACACCTGTATACATACATGCATCATATATTTTCATGTTGAGGCTTCTGTTCGTATGTTATGTTTATCATACAGTCTACATGTACAAAATGGCATAGTCTATCAAGGTCTGAGTGTACAAGAAGATGTATTGAGACAGATAACAGCATGCTCGAACAACTTAGAACGGCATGTCTACGCATCCAGTCCAACTCGGCGATCGTCCTTGTGATGGCGGAGAGAACAGTAACTGCCGGTTCCAATGGTTCAAGTCTGCATACACCCATTGTAACCAATGATTCCTGTCCACATACCGCGCATACCCCCATCTGGACATCTAATGTAGGAGCCTAATCAATTACCAACACTAGTTTGGGGGTTCCTTAATATAGTTGTACCATAATGGGCCCACAAACCCGTTTCTAATTATTAAGGCCCCTATATTAGGTTTCCCTGCCCAGGGTGTTCTCTGCATTTCCCGGCTGCCGTTGGACCCTCGGCACGATGTGTCCACTTGGATTCAGTCATCTCACGGCAGGAAGCACGGAAGATCCAGGGCACAGAAAAGCCAAGTTAAAGCTCGTTCAGTCATGACTCGGCACGTTGCAGAGGTAATTTGTGAGGCTATTCCTCGCCCGTCGACAGAGAACCTGGCAATCAAACCTGATTCACGGCCCCTAAACTCCTAAATCCCCCAGCAGAGCAGCATTCCAGCCTGAAGACTCACTGCTCCCCGAAGTCTCCGAGTGGACACGAGGCCCAAAATCCAAACCTCCAAGCCACGAAAGCCTGCAAGCCTGCTCCGAAACCTCAGGATACCGCTGCTGCGCATTCCCTGGTTCGTACTGGCAGTGCTCCTTTATCGTTGCCGGGATCATAACCCTAAGCCGTAGCCCTGCCCCCTTGCAGAGGTCAAGTTTTGAACAGGCCATGTGTTATTTCTCTTTCCGACCCGTCATGACAAGATTGGGATGGGGCCTGCTGCTGCAGCAGTCAGATTTGGATGACGGAGGAGGGAAAGCTAGGAGGGCTTGTGCTACAGGGCATCCCAAAATCCCTGAACCCAGGCACCTGATCACCTGAACCAAAAGCCTTCAATACCTGAAGCACCTAAAGCCACAGCCCCTAAAATTCAGACAACTAAACCGCGCATGCGGAACTCAGGCTGCCTTTCGAGCTTTCCCTGGATATCTGCGTGCTCCCCTTCTGGTGATCCCTGCCCGGATGAACGCCAATGGTGGGAGTTCTATTGGGGTGCCTTGGCCCGCAGGCGGGTTTCAAGGGTCCTCAAGTTTCGGGGATGAGGGCTCCTAGAATGGTAGGCTTCCGGGTTCTGGTTCGCGGTTTTGGGCTTCAGTGTGTCAGGGCGTGCAGTCTCCATGCAAAGATGATTGGGACGCATGCTGGTGCATAGCAATAAAGGCTTGCATACTTCCTTCCCCGGTAAGACAGCACAGAGGCCTGGATGCAAAAAGGTACCCCGAGCTATACCCCAATTGCTAAGACGGGTTGCTCGTTGTGTACGTAACTTGTTGAGCTGCAAGCGGAGTGGGAGTTTGCAAAGAAGTGGGGCCCTCTTGCTAAGGAGGTATCCAGGTAGCCCCCGGGTATTAAAAGAAGCCCCCAAATCGCCAAACATAAACTAGGCTTGGGAGATCCCTGCTCCCTTCCGTTGTGTGTTGCCACTTCATGACAGGACATTTTTGAGAGCTGAAACAGACCCGAAGCAGACAAGTCTTTTGCAAATCTTGGTGTGCACAACGCAGGCCCCACAACCTCCTCTTCCGTATACAGAGGGAGGGATCGTCGGTCTACAAGGACCTCGTCACCCATTCCAAAGGTGCAATATAGGGGCCTTGGTAACTAATGTGTTGGCAGCATCTTGTTATCAATGCCTTAGTTAATGTGGGGGCCTAAATAATTACCAATACTACTTTGGGGGCTCCTTATTATGACTATACTATAAAGGGCCCCAAAACCCTATTCTAGTTTATTGAGGCTTTTACATTATAATACAACTCAGCTTTTCTGTTATCGTCAAGGATGTGACTCCAATGGGCTGACGACGCTTCTGGGCCTTGAAGCACGCGAGACAGTGGTCGAGGACACCATCACCAACTCCGCCATAGGCTGCCGAGTAGAAGATCCGGAAGAATGCATCCACCAGTAGCAAGCATTCTAAGCCATGCTAAACTTACGTTCTACCATGCTTGGCTCCAGAGTGTTATACTATACTTTCTTGTGTATGTCACCAGGCTTCTGCATTCTTGTATTCTCGTTTCATTAGTATTGACATTGCGCCTTGGTGGTTTTGTCTCTATAGCAGCTCGAGAAGCGTAAGCACACTTTAGGCGTAACCGCGCCTTCAGCACATACTCTTGAACCCTTTTCACCGTAGGCTTAAGGCATTAGGTCTCTTGGGATTCTCGCAGGAAGCGCTTGAGTTTCCGAGCAGACTCAATCAAGTATCTGAAGTAGAAGAATATGTACGCAAACGAGAAAGGATGAACACGCTGGGCGAACGTGTCCATGATTGTAGATGCATATGTGAGGGTTGTTCTAAGCCCCCGGCTCTTGACCGTAGACTAGCAGCG